TATTAAAATTATTTTGAATTTCTTTATTACTATTATTTCGAAATAGTAAAATTTATACTTAACGAAACTTGTATTAAATAACAAAATCTTAAATATAACTCAATTTTTTCATGCAATTTCCATTTACAAAATCTTTGTTTTAAAGTTTTCAATCTTTGATCGAGTAGAATAATTCTTAATAATTTGAAGATATTTTATCAAAATCGAAATTATTTTATGCTTAACAACAGCTCAAAAATATTCAAAAAATTTWAAAATATTATGATGAATAAAAAATGCTAATATAAAAATTAAGTGAACATTTTATGTATTTTTAACGTTACGAACTTACAAATTATCGTTGTCAATATAACTGAATACTTGAAAATAAAAGCAGGAAATTAGAATATGTCATTTTTAAATTAATATGTTCACACACTTTTTAATATTAATATTTAATATGTTCAAGTTTGATGTATTGTGTAATATCCCCCTCCCCTTAACAGTATACTATATAGTGTATACATAGTATACTATGCTTATTAATAGGAATGTGCTTGAATGTGCTCATAATATTACTMCGAATRCTGAACATTGTTAGAAATATGTTATTTTTACTTGTAGCCGTACAATATGTGTTGTTAGTTTGTTACCACAGTGGTATAACAAGGACGGCATGACCGTGAAAATCCTATCACTGCGGTGTGTATTAAATGATCCTAATATCCTATTACGATGCTCGCTCCAAGCACTAAATTGGCTTTTCGCCGGCGGCAAAAGGAAAACCCAGAAAACTAAAAATTCCTTTGGTGAGTGTTTAGTATACTGTATACACAGCAACCTCTTTATAAAACGATATATGCGTTTATACATGTATACATTATAATATCTTACGAAGAAATACCGACGCGAAACGGTAATTATTTAAAGAGCATATTACCTATAATATTTAAAATTGCYAACATCGTGAAATCTCCGTGGCCTTTGTWAAAAATAAAAAAATAAATAATAATAATAAAATCATGACAAGTATTAGTGATATTTCTATATATAGGGTTAGGTCATTTTCGGAAGCCTGTCAGTACACAGTAACTTGTRTGTATTAAWGTATAAGTTTAAGGGAAATTAAATTCACATATATGGTAAGTATATATGTATACATTTTGAAATAAAGTGTATGTATTAAACATTTAATAATGTCTATAGTAAAATTATATGTTTAATTATTAATCATCAAACTTAATGCTTACAATATTTATTCTCGTATTTGAGCTCAACAATTTCTAAGTTAATTTGTGTAACTGTAAGGCGTAGTAATAAAGAGCTTTTATAGGAAATTTGAATTTATGGGAAAATCTACCCCGGGGGATGTGTCCGTATACACGTTATTCGTACATAGATTATTAGTCGAGTTTTTTGCATATAGCTCACTCCCTCCCTCACTTGATCAAAGTTTTGTATACCACATTGATCATATTGGGTGGTAATTTTGATAAATTGTATTACTGTTCTCAAAAACTGATGACAGTGAAATCTCTCTTAACTTWTAAGATTTATAATTATTGAATTGCGTTCTTCTAAAAAGCGGACACCTTTAATTAATAACGGAAATTTATATGGTCCTTTGAGTGCCCACTATTTAAAAATTGTACTGATTATATCTCGATGATATTTTTAATTAGTCACTAAATATGATGTTATAAATCAATTTTAAACCAATAATTAGTTTTTAGTGTTATGAATGTCATGCAAAATCAAAGGATGAAGTTTATAAACTTTTAACAAATTTAATTGAAAGCTCTTCAAATATAATTTCATACTACTACTTCTAATTATTAAAAAAAGTTATGAGCATAAAATWTACGTGATAAATTCGTGAAAGGAAATCCACTTTAAAATGTTTACATTTTGTGTTATTCAATATATCACGAAAGTTTGTAAAGTTCTGATAAATAAAATTACTAWAACAATAACTCATTTATAATAATATCATTTCTACATTTCTTTAAAATAATTATAACGTAAAGCAAATTTATAAATTATATGATAGTAAATCCATTCAGTAATTTATTATAATGAATTTCATTGATTCAATTAAACATATTAAGTCTTTAATATTTTTTTTTTTTAATTATATATTATAAAAGTATCATAAATGATTGTTAAAGCATACGCTTCTATGTTAACAACCAAAATCATCATATATATATATAATAAACAGTAAATTTTAACATTCACTGTCCATATAATATCTTATTGTAATTTGTCAACATTTGGCTAAACGTTTTAGTTGTATTGACTTTYGCCGATACACATTGTCAGAATTGGCCCGCTACTAAGCATGATTCAGTGAATCAAAGTATTTTGTTTCACATATGTTACAAGCAAGTGATGAACTGCTATTAAATTTTGGTGTTTTGCAGTTAATTATTATGATTTATTTTGCTATTCATGATTGAAAAATAGCTGCTACGGTAATTTTCAGTTAATGAAGATAATTTTACAATTGTGATCGTTATAGGTAGTATAATATTGTATATAATATTATAGGCACGACTTAAAGCGATCGTTGTTACATGCACGTGTACCGTACACGTCAATGTCATTATATATGTAAACGTACAAGATTATTGCTATCCTATTCCGTCATTATACCTATTATACACACTGATTAATTATAATTAGAAATATTATTGATATTAACCACTATTTTTGCTACACCARCACTACTATTGCTGTAATGCAACCTTCCATAACTTCACCTCGCTACTACCACTGCCGACTCGTTTGATACATTATTATTTAATAGTATTACGATTTGGGTTCAATTAATTAACTGCGGAAATGTG